CACATCTTTTCATGTTATAAACACTAAAGAAAAATAGGTATTGATGGACATCATCTCAATCTGATAAATGCCATTTATGAAAACACTGCATTAACATCATATTTAATGGGAAAAATTGTAATTTTGTCCTCAAAAATCAAGAACAAAAGAAGGCTATCCACTGTCACCAATCCTATTTAGCATAGTATTCACAACATTAGGCAAGAAAAATGAAGCAATATGTATAAACACGGAAGAACAACCGTTATTTGCAGATGCCATGATTTTCTACAAAGAAGGCAAAAAAATCCTGTGAAAAGATTCCTAGAATTAATAACCAAATTAAACAATGTATCAGGATACACATTAACATGGGAAAAAAAATCAGCATCTTTTCTGTACACCAGTGATGAATCAAATGAGAAAAATCCTAGGATAAACAATACCATTCATAATAGCACCAAAAATAAATTAAGTACCTTGGAATTAACCTAACTTAGGAAGTGAAAGATCTCTATGGTGAGATATACAAAACCTTGAAAAAAGAGTCAAAGTGGACATCAGAAAACAGATGTTTCTGGATCGGCAGAGCCAATATAATCAAAATGGCTATATTTCCAAAATTGATAGATTTAATGCACTTGATCAAAATGCTAACCGCATTCTTCACAGGAAGGGGAACAACAATATTAAAATCCATGTGGAAACAGAAGAGACTGAAAACAACAAAATCATTTCTGGGTAACAAGGGCCAAGTGGGAAGCCTCAAACTCCTGGACTTGGGGCTGTGGATGTAGCTCAGTGTCACAAGTGCCTGACTGGCAAGCGCAAGGTCCTGAGTTTGACTCCTGGTACCAAAAAATTTAAAAATCCAGGACTTGAAGTTATATTTCAAAGCTACAGTAATAAAAACAACATGGTAGTGGCACAAAAACATGCATGAGGATCAGTGGACCAGAACAGAAGATGCAGAAAGCACATTCAACCATTTGATCTTTGATGATACATCCAGTAATGTACACCAGAGAAAAGGAAACTTTAACAAAAGGTGTCAGGAAAACTGGTCATCCCCAAGCAGAACATTGACTCTACACCCATATCTGTCACTATATTCTAAATTAAAATAAAAAGATCAAAGAACTAAATGTTAAAACAGAAATGCTCAAATTGCTGCAAGGCTAAACAGAAGAAATTCTTGAAGTCATTGGAAAGGACTTTCTGAACACAGTCCCAGCGCAGAGGAAATAGTACCAAAAATCAACAAATGGCACCGTACCATGTAAAAATGTTCTGTGCAGTGAAAGACACAGCCAACAGAGTGAAAGACAACCTACAGAATGGAAAAAATATTTCTGCCAGCTAGTCCTCAGGCAGAGGGCTAATATCTAGAATATATACAGAATTCAAAAAACTTATATACTTCATAAGAGACTCAAAGGGAAAAAAGGCCTCATCAAAACTAGGCAAGTGAAATGCATAGGTCCTCGCAAAAGAACCACAAATGGTCAATAAATACATGAAAAATGGCCCAACTTTGCAGGCCATCACAGAAATTCAAATAAAAACAACACAAAGATTCCATTTTACACCTGAAAGAATGCACATCATCAAAAAAGTATCGAGTAGTAATTAATGTTGGTGAGGCTGCAGCAAAAAGAATCCCTCTACACTGTTGGTCAGAATATAAACTAGTATAACCACTCTGGAAATAAGCATGGAGATTCCTTACCAAACTAAAAATAGAAATTCCATTTGACCCAGCTATTCTTCTTCTCTGTATTTTCCCAAAAGAGTTAAAGACATCATATTACGGTGATCCATACCTTCCCATGTCCATAGCAGCACAATTTATAATAGCAAAATCTTAGAAGCAGCCTATATGCCCATCAACAGATGAATGGATAAAGAAAATGTATTATTTACCCACAGTGGTGTACTGCTCTACCATCAAGAAAGATAAACTTGATTCATTGAAGGGAAAATGGATACACCTCAAGACGATAATGTTAAGTGAAATAAATCAAACATAAAATTTAAATACAGCATGTTTTTTCTTATATGAGAAACCCAAAATGTAAACATTGAGCAAAATAAAAAAGAGAAATAATAAGAAGTCTGGAGATAGACGGTTCTCAAATAGGAAAGAGATCAACAGATGCCAGGCAGTGAGAAGGAGGGGACGCATAGGGGATGAGAAAGGAGTTAAGATGCATTACATACACACACCAACTCCACACAAAGGAAAGCAAGCACTATGTACCAGAAACATACTAATACAAAGTAGAAAATCAAGATAATTATTTACTTATACCTATACTTTTGCAGGTTAGGAATAAAAAGCAAAAACTGCACAAGGAAAAATTGTTCTTTTTTAAAACTTTGCCCCCTTTGAAACTGTCTAGCTCTTTACCTGTCTCATGGTTCCATAATTGCTTTCTTGACCCCTGTAACCACGAGAGTCAACCAAACATTCAGGATACTTGATTGTACCAAGCTTTGTGGGCATTCATATAGTTTTGCAACTGACGGTCATTAATCCAGCCCTGTAACTGATAACCTCATCTTGACAGCTAATCAGAAGAAACTGCCAGGCTGTCCTGTCCCACCTTTGTAGCCCTCGCATTTACCTTATATAAAACTGCTGGCTGATGGACACTCGCCACCTGGCTTTTATTGGAAGATATCCCAGCCAGGACCACCTGTATAATATCCCAGCCAGGACCACCTGTGTAATATCCCAGCCAGGACCTCCTCCTGACTTCTCAAGTGTTGTTCCTTTCCTGGACTCAGTTTTGCCACAACAGGAATACAATGGGAAGAAAATGAGATTAAAAGGAGACAGATGGGCCTTCTGTATCTGCTATATCACTTATTTGATGGATGACATAGGGCACATTAGTCCACATTTCTGTCCTTCATTCTCTTGTTTTATAAAATGGACATACTATGCACCCTCTAAAATGACATGAATTCTGTGAGATACAAAAGAACTGCAGCAAATAAATGTTTCTGTTCATAGCATAAAAAATAAACTGAATCCTTGTTTGTATAAATATGGTCCTAACTCTCTCTTAGTAGCTCAGTGTGGTGGCGTACCCTGTGGAGGCTGAGGCAGGAGGATTGTTGTGAGTGTGAGGCCATCCTGGGCTACAAACTGAGCTCAAGAAAGGAGTTAAGATGCATTACATACATGCGCCAACTCCCCACAAAGGAATGGAAGCACTATGTACTGGAAACATACTAATACAAAATAGAAAATCAAGATAATTATTTACTTATACCTATAATTTTGCAGGTTAGGTTTTGCAGGCAATTATTTACTTACACCCATAATTTTCCAGTCCAAACTACATAGCGAGACCCTGTCTCAAAAAAAGACAATAAATAAATAAATAAATAAATAAAAAATTCCCTATTAGTCTTTTCCACCTTAAATCTTATTTCTTCAATAACTGCATGTGATTTTTCTATCATCTTTTCCACTTTTTTGGGAAGATTCAATTTTTCAAAATTTTTCTTAACGTTGATGGTCCCGCAGTTGCATACCACAGGCAAAGACTCCTCCTCTAAGAAGGAAAAAATATTAAATATTATGTCTAAATATTATTGTCTAAATATTATGCCAGTAAAGTGGAGTAAGAGGGAAAATGGAAACAAGTTCACATTTTACACACTATGGGAGAAGTCCATTTTCTGATGAATCACAGTTTCTGACACTGATTCATTGATATTTACTAGCAACAGGTCACTGTGCTCAAGGCCATGTATTCAGTTTGGCTTTGTAGTGCTTCTCACCTGTAATGTTTGAAAATGCATGATATGGGGTGTGGCAGCTGAGAAGCCCCCCTTCAGACCTTTAGGTTAAATCTGGCATCCAACTCAGGTTTACCTGTGCTCTGAAGTGGGGGCTGAGAGAAGGGGCAGGTAACTAGGCTCAGTCCCAAGTAATAAGAAAATGAACATCTGGGGGCTGGGGATTTAGCTCAGCGGCAAAGCGCCTGCCTGGCAAGCGCAAGGTTGTGAGTTCGGTTCCCGGTACCGGAGAAAAACCAAAAAAAAAAAAAAAAGAAAATGAACATCTGAAGCTCAATTGCTGTTTTCCCCTTTGTGTACCACCACTCCTTCAGGTTTAAATAGGGGAAGAGAATTGCAGTGAGGGTAAACGTTTTAGGGATTTCAATGATAAGAGCCTGCTGTAGCATGCGCAGCATATGTCTGCCACCACTGGAGTAAGGGATGAGAAGGTAGTATATTGGACATTTTCAAGGCCATAAGCCAAGTGTCATTAGACATTTATTTTTATTTCTGATTGTCCCAGCATTCCTGAGTTAATAATAACCTACACATATGAAATACTGCCTTGGGCTGGGGATATAGCTCAGTGGCACAAGCACCTTTCTGGCAAGCACAAGTTCATGGGTTTGATCCCCAGTATCAAAACAAAAAATAAAACTACATAAGATAAATACATAAATGAAATACTGTCTCTATTTTTACTCCCTGTGATGGGCTACATAATGAGCTACAAGGATGTCCTTATCTCAGTCTTTTGTGTGTTAATTTATATGTCAAAGGGACTTTGCAGATGTGATTAATTTAAGAATTTTCAGATGAAAAGATTATCCTGAATAATGCTTATAGGAGGGAAGCAAGATTGTGAGACTCAGAGAAAGATGATGTACAGACGAAAGTCAAGATCAGAGAGGAGAGAGGATGCTACATTCTGATGGTACTGAAGATCGAGGAAGGTACCACAACACAAGGAATGCAGTTGGCCTCTAGAAGGGGGAAGAGTCATGGAGGTGGGTTCTTCAAACCTCCAAAACAGGCTGGCCTGGACATCACCTTGACTTTCCCCCAGTGAATCTGATCTTGAATTTCTGTCATCTAGAACTGCAACAGAGTACTGTGCTATTTTAATCCAGAGTTTGCACACAGTTGTCATACCTGCAATTTGAAGCTAACATACAGCTATGTGTTCTCTGAAAACAAAACACAGGAAACAACTTTGTTTTTCTCACCTGTGCCATTTCTTTGAGGTATGCATCAATAAAATCTCTCATCACATCAGGATTCCAGTCTCTCCTGTGACTTTCAATCATGTGAGAAACAAATGCTTTCAGTTTGTCCCAGTCTCTGAAGAGAGTTTGATGAGGTCCAGGAAGGAACTTCATTGTCCCCGGAAAGATAGTGTAGATCTAATTGAGAGAAACAAAATAATTGTGGAAAAAAACGTGTGTTTTTGAACTTTTCATGATCACCTTCTTCCATCTCTTTTATTTGCTCACACTTACACTTTGGTGTCACCTTGAACGCCTCTTTTCTCTCTCATCTCTGTTGAAGGAATTTCAATTCTCCATCCAACATATACTGAGCTTCAGACCACTTCTCACTGCCCTGCACGTGCTTGCCACACTACTGCAAAGTACTAGCTTGTTCCAGGTAGGGGTACTTGGATGTTGACATTGCTTTAATATTTCCTGATTCCTCTCTTAACCGATTCCCAGCCTACTGTTCTATGCAGCTGCCAGAGGGATCCTTAAACATTCTGACCACATGGTTTTCTTCCTTAGTTATCAACTGTCCAATTGCTTTTCCTTATACTAAAGACCAAAGTCACTCCTTTGGCCTACAAGCACTATAGCACTGGCCCCTACAGATCGGCCACTTGTTTTCTGTGATTTCTCTGATTTATTGTCCTTCATGGAGGTATCACTAATTGTGATTCCATGCCCATGCAATGGATTGTATATGGTGGTCTTGACTAGTATGCTGAAATCTCTCCATCTGGGTAAGACTTGGTATTTTATGCAGAAATAAAGTGCTGGTGAGATGAACATAAGTGAGAAGTGAATAGAAGAATGAAATACAAATATCTGGACTCCAAATGAGACAGACATCACTGTGAGTATTCTGCTACTTTCCAGTTATAATACTTTGATAATAGTTATAATCATCATAATAATCTACTTTTTGATCCTTCAACTAGCTTCTAGTTAAGGGGTGCATCTCTGGGTGAGGTCCTAGGGTGACTCTGCAGACTGCATGACAAGAGATACATACGGTACATAACACAGGAAGCGTAGACTGTTGTCTCATTTGCTTCCACGTTCAGATATCAGCTTGCATACATGTTGCTTTGTTTCATTTTTATGGGATTGTTGTGAAAATTACCAGAGACAAAGTGTGCTGAATTACCCATCAAAATGTCTGGTACACAGGGGGACTCCAAGAAATGTTTATTAACCCTACCCTATTACCCTGTTTATTTCCCTCCCAAGAATTTCCTTTTCCCTAGGCAACCATTAAACCTTCCTGATGTTCTAGCTCTCTCTTAATAGGAGGAAAGCAAATGGAACTGCTGGACTTGGGACTTCCATGACTAAGCATGAGGATAAGGAACACAAAGCAACTTTGACAATAATTAAAATGGTTCACACTTATTATACCCTTTCCGTTTGCCAGGAGTCATCCTAACCCAGCATCAGTTTTTGGTAAGCTTCAAGCTCCAGAAAGAAGGAACCACTGGTTCCTTCAGGAACCACGACAGCAGTTTTGAAATATTTGACTTTCTTTTATGCCTACATATATATGCAAGAAAAGTAGGACATGTCTGTGTGAACACCTGCACAGCAATGCTAATGCCAACTTATTCATAGCATTCAATACCTGGAAACAACTGAAAGGCCAGCAGTAAAATATTGATTAACCACTGAAGCATATTCACAAAACAGAATGTTAGTTTGTGTAAAAAAAGATTCAGATGAATCTCAAAAAACCTGCTGAACGTCAAACTGCATGCAGAAAAATGCCTCCGAGGGACAAAAAATAGGAGTACATAGGGTAGAACATGGAGAACAGAGAGACTCAAAGGCAAGAGCCGTATTGTTGTTCTGTTAAAAAGACCAATATAGATGCAGGTCATGTAAAATTCTGTAGTTTATGTGAATGATAGAAATATTTTTGTATGTAGTAAGTGTTTAATAATTAAAAATGTTAACTAGACACGGTGGTCACACTTATAAACCCAGCACTCAGGAGGCTGAGGCAAGACAATCATTGCAACTTCAAGGTCAGCTTGGGCTACATATTGAGTTCAAGTTCAGCCCAGATGACATAGCAAAATCCTGTCTAAGAAAAAAAAAAGAAAAAGAAAGAAAAGAAAGAAGGAAGGAAAGCAAGTAAGTGAACAAGAAAGAAAGAAATAAAAAAGGAAAAGAATGAAAGAAAGAAAGGAAAGAAGGAAAGAAAGAAAGAAAGAGAAAGAAAGAAACATTAGCATTGTACTAGGGAGTGTAGCTTAGTAGTTAAATGCTTGCCTACTGTGCCTGAGACCCAGGGTTCAATGACCAATTCCAATACAAAAAGAAAGAAAAAGAGAAAGAAAAGAATAACTGAACTTAACAGATCCATTTTAAGTAGTCTTTGTTAAGTTCAATGGAAACTTCTTGTACTTTTTGTTCAAACAGCAAGAAAACCAAAAGAAGAACCCATTTGGGTCTGACATCAGCCCGATATTCTTTCTCAAGGTGCAGGAAGAGAAGCACTTACTTGGCACACAGGAGATGCTTCCAAATGAGCAACCTCATCCAATAAGCTCAGCAGCTCCTGAAACTGACCGTCTTCGTAGTCAAAGCGCTCCCCAAAGATGATAGAGCAAATTATATTGGAAACTGCATTGTTGATCTTGAAGTGAGGGTTGAAAGGCTGTCCTGGAGGTGGAGGAAGGAAGAGATGGGTTCTTCAAAAACCACTGATTTGTCTCTATGTTCTACAGAAATTCAGTTCTAGAGACCTACTAGAGAACCATATTTGAAGCTCTAGCCACAGCATCTAAGATACGGTAAGGTCTTGTTCAGTGTCACGGTAATTAAATTTATGATCACCGTTTAAATTTAGTAACATGCTTCCTGCATGTATAACTGTGTCCTCTTTAAAGACATTCTCATTGGAAGGTGGTCACCATTCCATCCCAGTGCCTAACACACTGCTGGGCATCGAGGTTGGATCTAGGCTCTCAGTAAGGATCTGTTCCATGAATGGATGGCATGAACGCCCCATACCTGGACTCTGAAATGCTCACCATTCTCCTCTGCTATGACCTCAGCAAGGTGGTGGGCTTCCTCCTGGATGCGTTCCTCTAAGCTCTTCTTTCCTAAACCAAAGTTCTTTAGTGTGGTTAGGGTGAACCTTCTTTGTTCCTTCCATATTTGGCCACTGGACATGATCAGTCCTGGGGAAATGAAAGCCAGCATTATGGTATTCTGATACTATCATGCAAATACCTGTTAGCTGTACACACATGTGCACCAGATAAAAAGGAGAAGGAACATTAATACACTTGAAATTTATTCAGAGACATTCTCCCAGAGCAATGCACATAATTCTGACATGTACTGACTAACATTTACTAGCTTCTCATTTGAGTGTTTTTATGTATTTTGTAACTTGGTGCTCACAGAAACTACACAGCATACTTTTCACATAGCATCACCTCCAGCCTATGTAACTGATGAGAAATCTAAGGAAATAGGAATTAGGATAAAGAGAACATTGCGGAGCTGGGGATTTAGCTCAGCGGCAAAAGCGCCTGCTTGGCAAGCGCAAGGTCGTGAGTTCGGTTCCCGGTACCGGAGAAAAACCAAAAAAAAAAAAAAAAAAAAAAAAAAAAAAAAAAAAAAAAAAGAGAACATTGCAAGGTAACACAGTTGATAAGCAGATGTTCAAATTCTAGTCTGTCTGTACTGGAACCCCATGCTTTAGTTAGAAGTGAGATAAGTTCATTTAACTATTAGTGTGAAGCTAAAGATCTGTAATGCAGACATGGTGAGGCAAAATCTCATGGGTACAGAAGACAGAAAAAGGCTTTACAGGAGAAGTCCTATCTGAGCTGGGCCTGAAACGATGAAGAATTATTCAAGAAAGCAGAAGGAATGAATGTCTCACCAGAAAGAACAGCACAGGCAAAGTGCAGAACACCTTACTGTGTTCCATAAAACATTTGTTCCATGATACAGGCAATGCCAAGTGCTCTTTATATGTCTTTCTTTCTAGAGCACCCTTCAATTTCTTTATGTGCCTGTTTTGGACCTTCACTATCACATTAAAATGGTCCTGTTTGCTGCGAATCCCGTGAAATCTCCAAATTCATCTCATGTGGTCTTTCCTCAGCTCTACACACTTGGTGTTCTGCTTTGGCTTCAGGGTTTTTTTGTCTTTTTGAGACAAGGTCATGTTATGTAGTACAGGTTGCTCTTGAATTCACTTTCTAGCTCAGGCTGGCCTTGAACTCACAGCAATCGTCCTGCCTCAGCCTCCTGAGTGCTGGGATTACAGGTGTGAGCCACCATGCCCAGTTTCACACTTCTTGTTTGAATGACTCTTTTCCAGTAGAGGTCAGTGTAGCACACAGACATATATTTCCCAAATCTCTGTGAGCAATTTGTCACCTCATTTTGTGGTTTATTTTCTTCTATGAACTCTTCATGATTAGGTCTCCAGCCTCCTTTCTTCTCACCCCACATTTCCACTGAAAATCTTATCACCTCCTATAATTTTAAATAATAACTACTGCTAGAAACCTCTGCTTGCATCCCAGAACTCTATATTCATTACGCAATGAATGCTTGACATTTGCCTTTACCAATTTAAAGCACTGTAAACTTGGCACATCCATCCTTAAGTTCTTAACTTTAACCATGTACCCCCCAAAAAGCCAAACCTACCCAAATACCTTCTTCTCCTAAGTGTTCCTCTTTCCATCAGGTACCTGTGTGAGAAACATCTCAACCCTTGTTGTCCTACAGCGCAGTCATTGTGTGTTATTAGGTTTAGCTAACCATGACCTGGAATCCATGCATGTCACCATTACCATCCTTTCCTAACATACTGTCATTTCTTCCTTCCTTCCTCATCTAAGCTGTCATTTTCTCTAAACTAAAATCTACAAAGTTCCCTTGAGATACTGTACTCTTGTCATACTATCATAGTGAGTCTCAATAATGTACTTTGCATGATTTTTTCTTCATTTAAAAACATTCAAGAGCTTAAAACACTGTCCTTAGCATAAAAACCAATGTTCTTTACAAAAACTTGCAAGGGCTATTCCTAGTTAGGTAGTTTTAACTCCGTTTAATTATCTTTACAACACTGAGCTTGCATCACTGGATACTTTTATTTCCTCAGGTTCTTTGACCTTATTCTCATGGTAGGGACTCTTCTTATTACACTTACCTTGACTGAGTGCTGATTTTCAATTTATTAAATAAATTGTCTTTCCTCATATCAACTTTCCCTAAACTCCAGGACTACATTTGAACTTCCAGTAACTGTCTCTTGGACTTACCTGTCTTTTATTACTGGAGTTCATGGGTGCTGTGCTTCTCTCTCAATAGAATGACAGTTACAAAGGGCATGTACACTAACTGTCCTTCTCATTCTTCTACCGTTTATTTCTACCACTGGTTCCCACGGCAGTAAAGGCATGTAGAATGCATGGACTATTTCAAAGGGAAATTCGAAGCATCTGTAAAGGATGCTCTGGTGGTTTAATAAACTGAGGTTTGACTCCCAAGTTTAAATGTTTAAATTTACTTAATGATGATCTTAATTATCCATGCCAACCTGTTCTAATATGCATGAAAGTATTAGATACACTGTCTGCTATGGCCTTAAAAATAGAGCATAAAAAACTGGAGGCAAGCAGAGGCAGGAGCAGAATGAAGCAGAATCACACCCATTTTCCTAAGGGAAGAGGTTAGAGTGGGGAAGCGCATTGCCTCCTCCTCTGATGGGAACGCTGAGGTGGTCACTTTATCATCCCCGCATGCAGAGGAGTCCTGGAGGATGTGTGGGCTCTTCCAGATCCCCATCAAGGCTGCTGCTCTCAAGCGCTCTGAGGAGGTGCTCCAGGAAGGAAATGCAAGCACTCGGTTTCCTCCGATGGACAAAACTTCATAATGTTGCTGGCTTGAAGCAGTTTAAGAAAATTATAGTCACAGATGCACTTGTACTCTACCATGCGCATTTCAAACATGCTTACTATGGTCAAGAAACTTACCATTTTTACCAAATGCACGTTCTCGAATAGGGCTCACAGGGCGGTTCATAAAGTTCTGGCCCGTGTGGGTAAGGACTTCTCTGATTAAGGGCAGTCCAGTTACGAGTACTACAGGGATGCCGGCAAAGTCCATACCAATAAGGTTACCATATTTCTTCACATACTAAAAAACAGTAAGATAGTCTCAGTTGAATATGCACCGGTGTACATGTCCAGGGATGCAGGGTAAGTATACCAAAAGGACTTATCATGAAGGGATTCTGGGTGTGTGTGAGCAGTGGCTGCACCTTGGCTCTGAGGGATGTATTTCTGAATTATTTCCCTTCTCTCAATCAAGTCAAATTCAATACACTCCAGGATTGAAGTTCCCTTAAAAGTGTATTCACATCTTCAACCTATGAACTGAGTGAGCATCTACCTTAGAGGAGCCATCAGGATACAACCACCATAAAATAAACAGTGCTTCTAACCTGACATATCCTAGAATCCAATGGAGAGAGAGAAGTCAGCACACCTGGCCTGCTGAAGAAGGATGAGATGGGCTTATTCTAAGTCAGATGTAGCAAAGGTAGACTTCTTAGTGAAGCAGCCTGAGAAGAGTGCTCCCATTCCCAGGACGTGCTAGTGAGTGGGAAGTGTGCTGGAGTGCGGAGGCAGAAATCCATCAGTCCCTGTGTTTCTAGTGTTATGTGAGGACTGGGCTCTGTGGTTCGTAGCAGTGGGCTCTTGGGGAAGACACTTCACTTTCTGAGCCTTAGTTCCTCAGCTGAAAAAGAGAATATCATTTCTCAAAGTCTTCTGTGGAGAAGAATGAGGCCAACAAGGTGAAAGTCATTTTCCTTTCTGGAATAGTGAGACTGTAGACCTTCACAATCCAATGAAATAGCTGTATTTTGTTTGTTTTCTAATTGTTTTCCAGTTAGAAGCCTGAAGATGTTTGAGTAGGAGGGGTGGTATAATGAGAGCTGAACTGTCTGAACTTTGGAACTCTATGAAGGGCACTAAAGAGACATGTTTGAAGTCTCCTTGGTAAAAAAAAGGCTGATAGGGAGGCAGAAAGGGCAGCTGTACAGCCCTCTAAGATTCAGACCCTATTTCCAGTTCTTGAGGAACCATTCTACCAGTCTATACTTCTCAGGAAGATAAAAGGGCTTCCGGACAAGGGAAAATTAAAAGAGATATTGGTGGAAGTTAAAAACAAACTAGTCTTCCCTCAAGGGACAGTGGAAGACTATAAAAACGTTTCTTGAGTCTTTCTATATAGGAAGAGATGCTATATTGGAAATGGCCTCTTGAGTTTGCCCGGGACTAATAGTGGCAGCCATTCCACAGGTCTGCAAAGCTTACAAGGTCTATGGCTACAACAACCTGGGCAAGACAAACCACCTCCTTCATTAGAACCTGTGTGGAGGAGAGCACATACCCTGGAGAACACTGAGAAATAGACTTCTCCCATATGTGCACATGTAGAGGATTGAAACAAATGTTGGTCCTAACTGACACCTTTATAGGCTGGATTTAAGCCTTTCCTACCCATTCAAAAAGGCTACTGAGGTCGTCTATGTGCTTGGTAAAGAAATCATCCCCAGGTTTGGACTATCACAGTCTCTCCAGAGTGACAATGAACCTGCCTTTACCTCTCAAATAATTCAGGGTGTGGCACAGGCTTTAGGAATTAAATACTACCTCCATTCCTCTTGGTAGCACCGATCTTCTGGATAGGTAGAGAGAACCAACCAGACCCTAAAGCCAACTCTGGCAAAACTTTGCCAAGAGCTCTCTCACTTCTGGCACTTAGTGCTATCAATAGCACTCATGAGGGCTGTAACACGGACAAACTGGGCTGAGTTTGAGCCCTTTTGAGACCTTACATGGAAGGTCATTTCTAGCCTCTGATGTGATTTTAGCCCAGAGGCTATGACTATCACAGTAACTATCTCACCAATCTGGGCTAAGTGCCATAGACTGTGCAAATGTATGAGAACAGTCCTGCAAGCTCCTGGCCCAGAGGCACCACCTGGAGTCTTCCCTGGAGATCAAGTGCTTATGAAATCTTGGAGACAGGGAATACCAGCAGACCAGTAAACGCCAATATAGAAGGGCTCATTTTCAGTGATCCTGTGACACCAACTGCATTAAGGTGGCAGACATAGATAAGTGGATTCATTTTTCTAGATTAAACCTAGTCCCACTTGAAGTGTCTGAAAA